TGTGTGTGTGTGTGTGTGTGTGTGTGCGTGTGTGTGTGTTTGTGTGTGTGTGTGTGTGTGTAGTTTTGGGGAAGGAGGTGGACTTAGGAGATGTTTTGTAGATGGGTAAGGATTTGGTCATAGAATTAATAATTTATTAATCATTTTTATTGAGCTCTGCCTCGTGGAGTGCAAATCAAACATGCTTTTTATAACTTTCATCTGTTTGTCTTTATTTGTGTGTGTTACTATGTATGTGTGTGTGTACATGTGTGTGTGTGTGTGTGTTTGTGTGTATGTGTGTGTGTGTGTGTGTGTGTGTGTGAGAGAGAGAGAGAGAGAGAGAGAGAGAGAGAGAGAGAATGTAAATCTTATACTCTCGCATTGATCAATAGCTTGAGTTAACCGAGAAGGAAAACATAAAGAGATATCAGTAAGGAAATCGCAAATTGTACGAGCTATTAATGACTTTCAGTTTTCTGTGTTCATGTCAAATGTGCCCAACTGTACTTAATTATCGATGCTTAAGCAAAGCTGGCGTCGAGATAATCATAATATCTTATAATCAAATGAACTGTCAAGTCATCACACGACGATTTGTATATTACTCACTTACCAATTACAATGACAGTGGCATGGCATTGGCATCACAGGATACATAACAGAGTTGTTAAAATTGAGCAGACGAAGAAATAACGCAAGGTGAAAATTAATAAATAGCTAAAGAACATAACGAGGCCAAAATGAATTGAACTACAGAATAGAGACTTAAGAACAGGAAGGATACAACTACGTTATGGTCATATAGACAGCAGAGAATATACAAAAGTGCATAACAAAAGTAAGCTGAAATAAACCAACTAAAGAACAGAACATAATTAACATGACATAAATAGCCAAAGAACATAACAAGGTCAAGCCAAAATAAACGACAGAGAAAAGACTAAAGAACATAACAAAGTTAAGGCAAAATAAACAGAGAAAAGACTAAACAACCGAACAAGATCAGGGCGGAAAACCCCCCCAGAAAAAACTAAAGAACATAACAAGGTGAAAGTGAAATAAACTAAAAAGAAAAGTTAAAGAACATAACAAGATCAAAGATGTATATAAAGGATATGGAAATTACAAAAGAACATAACAGGATCAAAGTAATATAAAGGATATGGAAATTACAAAAGAACATAACAAGATCAAGGTGACACAAATAGCTGAGTGAGCAGAAGTGGCGTCATTTTCGGGTCCTGCCAGCAGTTGGTAGGATGGCGTGGACTCCTCGTTGGCGTTGTTCTCTGGCGGCGATGAAGACTTGTTAGCTGTTATGTCTGTGCTGGGTGTGGTGGTGCTGGTGGTGGTGCTGGTGGATGACCGCTGGTCAGTGAAAGCAACAGGGGGAGAAGGGCTGGGAGTGTGGGGCAAGGTGTCGCCGTTCGGATCCTGGGTGCTGGTGTAGTGCATTGTCCAGCCGTATTCGGAGACACCTGTGGTAGGGTTGTGATTGTGGGGAGAGGGGGTGGAGGGGGAGAGCGGGGTGGGGGAGAGGGACGGGGAGAGGTGATGGGGAAGAGTGGGAAGAGGGAGAGGGAGATGGGAGGGGTGGTTTGAGATTGTGGGGAAAGGGGGAGGAGAAGAAGAAGAGTGGTGGGTGATTGTGGGTAGAGAGAGAGAGGGAGAAGGAGAGGGAGAAGGACGGGAGGGTTAGTCAGGGAGGGTTGGTCAGGGAGGGGAAAAGACACGGAGGCAAAAGAGAGATAATACGAAGAAACAGAGGGATTGGTGGGAAATAGTAGAGAAAGGGTTGTGGTGATGAGAGGTGGTGGGGTGGAGGTAGTAGGAGAACACAAAAGGGAGATTAGAATTCATGTGATGTTCACTTCTCTGATTTATAGTGAAAGAAAGTAGCCCCCCCCCCCCCCCACCTATGAAAACAAATGAAAAAGCTTAGTTAAATTCTCTGTTGTTGTATTTACTCTTTACAACCCACTTACTCAAAATTGGAGAAGACTTATATATTTTTAGTGCTGCCAGTAATGTTGAGATTCCTAAAAACAAATATACAGTTTCTTGGGTTTTACACAAAGTTGTGTATTAAACATGATGTCAGTTGGCCCCAGCGTCAACAATATAGTTCCACGCCGTGTCAGCCAGCCTGAAGTCGTATTGCTATGAACCACGAAATTATATAAAGTGTGCACTTTCAGCTTGTGTGCTCTCATGTCGACTCCGGGGTGAACTGTTGCTCTTTCATTCAAATACGTGGCATAGTTATCAGATCGTATCAAAGATTTTGACCCTTTGTCATTACACCCTGATGTCCTGAGTTAGATTCCCAGATGGGGAGAATTTTTTTCGAATATCTTGGGCTTTCTGCTGGGATGTTGTATCCCCTCCGAGCGGAGTTAGCCCTGACAAGCGCGACCTAGCCGGCCCCTCTAAATAATCTAAATTATCTAAACCGTGTTGATGGGGCAGTAAAATCACCTTTATTCTTTTTTCAAATGATCCCGCTTGTAATACAAGAAGCTCATTTACAAAGGTAAGAACTTCGGTTTTACGTCCATCTCCGACAAAACCGAGATAGATGAGAAATAATAAGCGATAGAATTTATGATACAACGCAAATTCCCGCTCAACAGAAAGTTCTATGCATTTGACAATCTACACTATTAACTCAGCAAACCTGGTAGCATTCTGAAACAATCTCAATTTCCTTGGAAGCATTCAGTGCAAGCTGCCATTTATTCTCGAAACCCCGAACCCGCAACCTCACGATTAGGATTAGGAGTCGGTAGCCTAACCACTATAGACTACCAACGGCATGGTCACTACTGGAGCTCCACCAATTGGAAAATTTCTAATGTTGGATACTGACCTGTCTTGACCACCATGGAGACTTCCTGTCCGAGGCCGACCTTGTTCTTGGCCTGGGCACTAACCACGTACTTCCGGTCAGGCATCACACCCAGCAGGGTGGCGTGACAGTAACCTTCTTTGTTTACACCTATAACGTTTGGGAAAGGGGGGAGGGGGGGGGCGAGATTTAAAAAAAACATTTTTATTAATATTTAAAAGAAATATATATTAATTTTTTGTTTTATGAGTGTTTTAATTAGGGTTGAGGGCTATTTTAATGGTATATTATTATTATCATTCTTCTTCTTTTTCTTCTTCTTCTTATTAGTAATAGTAGTAGAAGCAGTAGTATTGTTCCTATTGTTATTATTATTACTATTATTATAATTATCATTATTTTTATTATTGTTATTATTATTATTATTATTATTATTATTATTATCATCATCATTATTTTCTTTAACTAGTATTATTATTGCTGTTGTTATAACTATTATTATTATTATTATTATTATTATTATTATTATTATTATTATTATTATTATTATTATTACATAATTATAACATTATTATATTATCAGGACTGACTCAGTGAAAAGCGTAGGGGAGAAAAGAAAAGAACACCTTCATATTATTTTAATTTCCCTCCCTTTGAAACACAATGTTGTGGGCAGAAAAAGTTATCAAAGGGAAACTATCACGGAATCATCAGCTTATTGATACAGTTGTGTCCCTTCACATGGATATTACTAGCAGTGGAACCTTGTGAGGCTTGAGTCCGGTCATGTGGAGTGTGTGTGATAACAATTTAATTTTGTACTAGTTTAATTATTCTGCTGTCATTTTAATGATATTTACTAGGCGGACCCCCACAGTTCAACTATTGTCTCCTCTAGGAGCAAAATAGTGGGTGGAGAGTGTTGAAAAGCCTCAAATCAATGAACGCTCGCAGTTCGTCAATTAGACAGAAAGACAAATAGAGTGGGAGAGAGAGGGGGAGAGAAAGAAAGAGACAAGGAGAGAGAGGGAGAGAGAGAGAAGAGAGAAAGAGAGAGACAGAGAGACAGAGAGACAGAGAGACAGAGAGAGAGAGAGACAGAGAGAGAGACAGAGAGAGAGAGACAGAGAGAGAGACAGAGAGAGAGACCGAGAGAGAGAGAGAAAGAGAGAGAAGGAAAAGTAATAAAAAGCTATAGTTCAGCAATGTTACTCTAGGAGAACCTTTAGCTGCGGTTGGATAAGGAGAGGTGTGATCAGATATACTGGAATAAAGGGACAGAAAATAAGAAAGGATTCAAGTAAGAAATAGCATTGTCCCTGGCTAGCATCCTGAATGATTAAAATTGTGTCGTGTCGATGGGATCATAAAAACACCTACATTTCAAAATGTTTTTAAAAAGTTCGCCTGGGATCAATAAAGAACACTCTCCCACAGACAGACTTTAAAACTAAATTTAAAGAAAACTACAGCTCTAGTCTGTGGGAGAAGCATTGGAGTAAACAAGTAAACAGTTAACTCCGCAATGGCATGTTTAAACTAGGCCAAAGAGAACTTTCGGGCCTCTCCAGAAGAGACGAAGCCATTTTTACTCCTTTGCGTATCGAACAAACCTCCTACAAGGAGAAACCGGACTACAGATTTCACCATATCAACAGAATGTCCAGACTTTAGACCGACTCGAAAGAAATTGCACACAATTGCAAGATCTGTTCTGTGTTGTTGATCCCATCAAAATTATCTACTTTATAAAGGTCATTGGCCTTTACACAAAAATGTAAATACTTAATGTAATGAAACTGTCATTTGAAGATTGAGATTTTTACTGTGAAATTTATAACATTTCAACCTGATTTTTTACCCAAAAAAACCTAAGCCATGCTGTGAACTGTTGTGAAAGCAATCAGTTTATTTTTCGCGCGCTCAATATGATCTGATGCAGTTACGTGCGTCGTGAAACTCTTGCAAAATTAAACTAAAAAGTTCGCTCTCCAGAGACTTTCTCCGTGACCTTGACAGTGACTCACCACACGTGACCTGGAAGTCGTCCTGCTCGTCGCCCTGCTCCCGGTACCGGGCCTGGATGTACTCCACGGTGGGCGTGTCCGGCTGGGGCAGGACAGTGATGGACACCACCATCTCATAGGGGGCGATGGTCAGAGGGGTCAAGGTCAGGCTGGAGGGTGCGTCTGGAGCAAGAAGGAAAAGGTAGTAATGTAATTATAGAAGATAAGACAAGTTAAGATGAGACGAGATGAGACGGGACAAGGTGAGGTTAAATAAGGAATAGAAGAAAAGATACGATGAGATAAGAAAACATAAGATTACTAGCTGGGCCCCCTTTCGATGAAAGGAATAATCGGGGCTTTAATATCAACTAAAACTCATTAGCCTACTATATTTACACTATACTGGAATGGGGCAATAAATCTTGAGAGATGCAAAAAATTATAAGACCTAGATCTATAGATCTACTCTCAAAACAAAATGCGCCTCGCGAAATATCACTTTCGGATTTTCTAAAATTACAGAGACAAAAGCGTCGGCCTACAAAACCGATCGGCGAAATAAAGAAATTTAGCTTTTTGCAGCAAAACTGTCTCAAAACAAAAAACCAAGGGCGTCATGCTCTGGAGAATATTTTAAAGAATCTATTGGCGAAAACCGCATGTCGATCGAATCAGCCATAAAAAACCTTTTGAATAGCAAAATTCGGCCACCACAAATAGATAATAGATATGGTACCATATCCACTTATTCCTCACCACCATCCCCCCCCCCCAAACCCTATGTCAACCACCTCCAACATAAAGTATGACGTTCAAGCCTTATTCACGTGGAGCTTATACAATACACTCTGAGGTTGCCCAGGCTGTTCTCAACCCCACAATTCCTTACTCTTCCCTCCCTCCATCTTCCTCCTTTTAAACCACGCCCCCTCCCCTCTTTTACCTACATCTCACATTGCTCCACCCCCCCCACCTTCCACGCACAAAAAATATGACGTACAAGCCCTATTCACGTGGAACTCATGCACGGTAAGGTTGCCCAGGTTGTTCTCGGCCCGGCATGTGTATGTCCCGGACAGCTCTCGACTCTCTCCCTCACTCAGGCCCACCTGGGGAAAACACAGGTCATCATCATCATCATCATCATCATCATCATCATCATCATCATCATCATCATCATCATCATCATCATCATCGTTGTCGTCGTTGTTGTTTTAAATCATCGTCATTATCATCATCATCATCATCATTATTGTTGTATAGTCATCATCATCATCATCATCATCATCATCATCATCATCATCATCATCATCATCATCATCATCATCATCATCATCATCATCATAGAGGAGTATTTAATAAAAGAGAAGACTTGATTTCTATGTTTCGACGTTTCCCCGGTATGGATACATCTAATGGAGGTCACTGTTTAGCCCATTCTGATTCCCAGCCTTCAGGCTCACAAAATTGGGAGTGGGCTTCATCAGTCTATCATTAACAATGTTATATCACATATCGATTCTAGCAGTATCTACTTTTGTTGGCTCCACCATGGTAGACAGGATAAACTATATTGGTCAATACGATGGTAGACTCAGTTCAAAGAACTATGAGATCGATAAAATTAGGCTTCTCCAGCCACCTGGGCAAAATTAAAACTTTCTTCTTCCCAAAGTAAAAATGTTTAACGTGTCCCGCGTGCTCATATGACCTTATGCAGTTGCGAGCGCTGTAAAACACTTATAAAAACAAAACAAAAACAAAAACACAACCCCCCCCCCCTCAAAAACCCACCAAAAGAAACCCATACAAAACCAAAGAACTATGATCAAATCGTCGGCTCATCCGCAGTGGTGTTCTTTCCCAAATATACAACGTCGTGAATCCAACCGGGACTCGAACCCATACGCCCCACTACTCACCCCGACCGTGCTCTTGACCAGACAGCCGTCCTCACTCCTCTCCTCCTCCCCCGCCAGCGACACAGTGGCGCCAGTGACGTCAGTGAACAGCCACGTGACCTCTGGCGGGTCGTTCGCCGTGACGTCACAGGTCAGGTTGGTGATGTGTCCGTCCCACCAGTGTATTACGTCATCGGGTTGAGGGGACAGTACGTGCGGGGGGTCTGAGGGTCACAGAGAGGTCATTGTTATCTAAGGTGGTTCGGGGATGAAGTGGGGGAGGGGGGAGGGGGA